TAACTTAAAACCAAAATTAAGTAAAAGAAATGTTATTTTTAAATTTCTAGCATAACTCTTATCAACTCAGTGATATCAAAACATCCAATTTATATTTTTCTTGTTTTTCAAAGCACAGACGACGGTTATAAGAACGATTCAAAGTATCCAAAGAAATTTCTTGTGGCATGGCCAATTGGATAAGAGAGGAATTTGTTGGATTAGTTGGGAGACGATTTATAGACCAAAGGAGGAGGGGGGCTTGGTGTCAAAGACATTGCAACTTTCAACAAGGCATTATTATGCAAGTGAATTTGGCGAATGTTTGGTGAATCAAATGTGATATGGTCGGAAATTTTACACACTAGGTATGGTAATCGAGGCAAGCTATTCTGGGGAAGCAAGGAGGGTGTGGCTAACGCAGGGCATTCACTATGGTGGCGTGATTTAGTCGATTTGACAAGGGATTGGAGGCAGAATAAATTTTCTGGGCAAAAACACTTGTGGTTGCAACTAGATCTATTGGTAGAAGTAAACTGGTGAACATCTCATGCAAGTTATTTCAAAATTGAAGAAGTTGGATGTTAAGGGGAAGTGAACCGGAGGAGTTTGGTTATCTGTGTGTTGGTGTATATGGCACTGCCAGAATAATATCATTTTCAAGGAAGGAGATGTGGATGTAGGAGAAATTTTGTTATAACATTAAAAAGTTCTCATGCAAATGGTTAGCAATAGGGTCAAATAGGAAGGTTTATTGTAACTTTTATGAGTGATGCTAAAATCAGGTGGATTGTATTCTCAATTTATAGTGTGGTGATATTTTGTATTTTATATTGTATTATAGATTAGAGTACCTCAATACCATGCTATTAATACAAGTTTTTTTATATAAAAAAAAACATCTTTCAATGTAATTTCAACAAACCATCAACAATAAATATAATAAATGAAAAACATTAAACATAAAACAAAATGTGGTATCGTTCTCTTTCCAATAACAAATGACATTTAAACAATATGAGAAAAAATTATTGAATTGAATTCAAAGTCAAGAAAATGATATAATATAATGATACTTGGTTGTTTGAAAATAAGGGAAATTTTATGGTTTGTATTGATAAAATTAATTTTAGGTGGTTAAAATGATATGATTATTGAATTGAAATCAGTTACAAAGTATAATAAAAAAATAGATAAAATAATAAGGTTGATAGAGTAAATCAATTAGTATGTAAATATCAATTTGAAAGAATATTTGAGAGAAAAGCTACTTTACCAGGTAAATAATAGTTGTTTCTGTATATAACATATTCGCATTCTCGGTTATTTTACTGTTACAAACTTTGATAGATTTAGATTTTCTTCTATTTATACTGCAATGACTTTTACAGCTTTGAAAGTTTTAATGAAGTTTTGGTTTTTCATTGATACTCTATTCTTTCAAATATATATTTCTGTCAACAGGGATTGTGAGGATGAAGGTTAGAATGCACATATATTCATTAAAAGATTTGTTGTTATTTTTTTCCCGCAGAAATAGAAAAACCAAGAGAATATGGCTGCCCCAGGTTCTTCTGGTTCTGTTGCAGTTGTCCTTCGTAGAATTGGCAAGAGTTTTGCTTCCAAGATTATTCAGCTCTGCTGTAAGATTCAATTCATTTTGCTTCCAAAGAGAGTTTGCATTCTTATGTGTAAACATATAATGGATGTTGTTCAGAATAAGATTTGCATTCTTTATTAATTTCCAAACTTTGTATATGTTGTATTTTCAAAGTTTTTAGCAAAGCTTTGCATTCTTCTGTAGAAAATAAAATTAAAAGTATTGTTTACATACTATTTCAGTTTCAATGCAGCCTGCACACATGTACCTTGTTGTCCCATGCGTCTCAGTCTATCCAAAAAAAAAGCAGATGACGCATCCCATCACCCTGCAGCACACATTAATTAATCATGACACTTTCTTCACAAACATCATTAGGCTTTTTCTCTCTTCACCCTTGGATGCAAATCAAACCTCTCCTCCATTCGACACATCACACACCTATTCGGCCTACTCTATTCCCTACCAACTCATCACTATCATCTTTTGAAAATTGTTTGAATATATTTGAATATCATTTATTAAATACCATTACATGTAATATTACTTTGATTGAGTATTTAATTTTAATTTAATTATAATCGTTCTTTCTAATTTTGTATTATTTCTATGGGAATGTCCAATAGTATTTTTGCGTTGATTCGAAAATCAGTTTGTTCACTGACATTTCTTGGTCAAGTTCAATGGTAATTATCATTTCTTTTAGATATGGTAGTCTTCTGATGTTTCCCAATTAGGTTTAGTAGTCACTAGCCTCCCTCGTTTAAGTCCAGTTGTCATTGGCACCTTTCTTTTAGTTTTGTCATCTCACAAAAGATTCTATCCTTACCCGCCGAAGCTTGATAATGGAGGCACCCAAAAAATATCAATAACTTTTTTCCAATCTCAGAGCACAAATTTTATGGTTCATTTAGTATTCAATCTTCTTCCACCTTGAAGACATGAAAATTGTGGCTATTCTCACCTTCAGATTTAAGATGATTGAATAGGGAAAGCTGTTTGCACCCCAAAATTTGTCCTCTTAATTTATTGTCATATGACTTACGCTTATGCATATCATTCTCCTCATGTACATATCTTCCATTGGATCATACCATAACTCATGCATCCACTAACAATTGAGACTTGAGGCATAGGATCAAGGGATCATTAAGGCTAGGGTTTCTACATGATTTGAGGCTTTTGATCCACACTTTGCGAGCTTGGTTTAACTGAGTTTCTCTCTGAATATGGATAGGGTTTGACTCTATAATCATTATGGACTTTATTTCAACATTCTGAAAGCTCGTTTCCACCAAGATGTTCAAGGATCATAAATTAGGGTTTATTTCCCTAAGCTTGAAATCAATAAATGAACTAGAGTCTTTTGTCTTACAATCACCATGGGTTTCTTCAAATAGTTGAACATATCATTCTTATAAAGATTGATTTCTTTGAGATTTGTGATACAAGTCATGTTATTGGATTTCTTTCGGAAGGATTAAGCATAGAAATGTATTTTCTCTTATGGATTCTATACTTTCTGGTGCTCATGTTATCAAATGGATTGGGGTTTTGGCGATAACCAATATGTAGTGCACTTCTCATATTTAGGGTTTCCATTTGTACCTTGTCAACATCAATTCTAAGGTTGGATTCGTTGGGTTACTTATGTTGCAAGTCATAACTTTGGATTTCAAACATGAAAAGGCATTACTATGGTGTTCATACAAAGTGTAACAAATTTGAATTGAAGATTGGAAGTTCAAATTAAGAGCAATGGAGGGAAATCCAAATTCAACATTGAAAAGAAATTTACTTTGAATATTTGGATTCTAGTATTGAATTGTCAAGATCACAAATGTTCATCCAATGCATCACAAACTATATCAAAGTTTATTACAAAAATGCAATACCAGGAGGATTACAAGTAAGAAGTCACAATGACCAATTTTCCCTTACAAAATTCAAAACATAAGAAATTACACACAAAAAAAGGAGTACATTGAAACTAAATTACTAAGCTTCAAGTCTTAATTTCTTTCCATATCGGCAACTTCACCAAAACTTATGCCAAACATAACCAGAACGGTAATACCTTAACCAAAAGCTTGTCAAAATCGCCAATCCTGCACAAATAACAGAAATTGAGTTAATGCCTCGATAATAAACCGGTCCATGACAGAATTCAGACTTGAGAAGGGAAAAATCGAGAAATGCAAGCATATGGAGATGCAGCCATGTACCCAACAATTGACTCTGCATAATAAATCGCGCAACATGACCAAAAAATCAGAAACCAGAAGCAAATAACAACTGAAAATATCAGCTCACCTCACAACACAAAAAGGAGAATATCTCTGACTGATTTTATCAACCCCTAACCGAATTCTAGCTCAGACCCTAACAATTTTTTTTACCCCTTTAGACTTATAACTAATTCCAATTGTCCATAAAAAAATTTTAACAACCTCTTACTGAATTCACATTGCCAAACTATATAACAGAAGATTCACAAAGTTACAAGGGAGGATTATTCAGAGATACTCAAATATTATTCAGGATCGATTATTCAAAGAAAAATATCAGAAACCATTATTCACAAATTCAGAGAATCATAAAAAAAAACTCACAAAAAAGAAAGCCTCTGAAATTCTTTCTTCACCTCTTTGCACTCTTCACCATCAATCTTATATCAGCATAAATGCTCCATACTTCAATCTCCATCACCTTCATCATTCATCTTTGCATCACCATAACTGCAATCTTCTGCGGTATTCTGCGATCATCGTCCATCGTTCTGCAAATCATCATCAACAACATTCCTTCTTTCATCTTCAACAACCAATCACCTCTACATCTCAGCAAGATCTTCATCTGCTAAAGGCACGTCACAATCGTGTTTCTGTAACGCGATCAACAACATCACAAATCAATAACCTTCCTGCAACATTTCCTCACCAACGACTTCGAATAGCATCACAACAACGCATAGCAAAAACGAAAAAAGAAAGAAAACTGAAGATCGAAATTCGAAATTGCAGACGCACGAGATCGGAAAGATACTCGTATCTTCATGTGTGAGCTCAACTTTGGTCTTGAGCGGCATTGAGGCGATGAAACAGTCTCGGCGGAAGAAAGAAGACGACGAAGGATGAGTGTTAAGCGGCGCAAGAGGGAGATCTGAGTTTAAAAGAACTCCAAGCGTCACAAACCCTAGAAAGCCACAAACGACGTCGTTTTTAAGTGCATCTCTTATTTTTTACCATAACATGCTGGAAAAAAAATTGATGTGGATATGGTGTTGTTGTTGGATCCCCTGGGCCTATTGTTGTTCACACGCGCTAAGGCCCAGCATCACCCCTCTTTGGTGATTTTATTTTGCTTGTGAACAAAAAAGAAGCTTCTGGACCATATTCTGTTGGGCTTAGTGCTAACTGCTGACCACACACCTTGCATCCTTTTTGACATTCCCTTTGGGTAGAATGTTGATGGTTTTCTATTAATTTTTCTTTCCATTAATTTTGATAATTGTGGGGATAAAATTGCATGAATAAAATAGTATAAATGTTAATTGAGTTTAGGATTTTTCCTCAAAATTTAAGTAGAGTTTTCTCGTATTCATGCCATGATAAAACGATGCAAAAATAGTATAATATTTTTGAATTCTTTAGGATCTCTCTTTAGAATTTTCATTAGAGTTTTATATTATTTTCATGTTTGATAATCATTTTTGTTGTCATTACTCGTTAAGATCTTGAGATAGTATTGAGACAATCTTTTGTGATATGAGATGCTCGAGTATTAATTTGGTTGACTATCAGCGAGGCCTTTGACACCTTTTTGCTTGTGCGGCTTTGAAGAGGCAACAGATCTTCTCTGTTAGGTACCACTTAAATATCTTTTATCTCTTTTGAACGTTTTGTGCTAGTATTTTATTTTTGCTAGGATCGTGTAGAAATAATTGCATCTTAGTCCCTCTCTCAAGGGTAATGTTTATTGGCATAGCTTGGACATTGGTGTGATTTTTTGTGATGTTATGCAAATCTCAAAATCATGAAATTGCGTTTGTATGGTGATAAGTATAAATTGTAGTTATTTTTGTATATACTTTTTGTTGCACTTATCGACTTTTTGTTTGTAATATTGTTGAATAATTCCCCACTTTTCATATAATTATGTATAAATTGTATTTAATCGAGTTTTTATGTAAATAGTGTACCGTTTAATAGTGGTTTATTTTGTAGGTATTTGTTGCATCTTGGAGCATTGAGGAATAAGGTGTCGAAGACAAGACTCCGGATGCGTGTTTTCGGAATAAAAGATCAGTTATGGACTTGTTGTTTAGGAGAGTCCGCTTAGCGGGCAGGAGGCCGCTAAGCGTGAGTGGCGCTCAGCGCATTTTGTAGCGCGCTACTTGCGTTATACTGTTTTGGCAGAACCAAAGTTTTGAAACCCGCTTAGCGCGAATAGCGCGCTTATCGCGGTTTAGGTCGGTTTAGTGTGTAAATATCATGCAGCCCGCTTAGCGCAGTCTGCTGAGATTTATTTTATAACTTTATTTTCAGTCATTTTTAGGTTATGGTTTTGGGGAAGTTTTTGCTTCCAACTCCATAAACTCGTAAATTTTGTTAGGATTAGCTTAGATAACAACTATGGAGCTCGCATACGGATGATTCGAGGTGGATTACTCTTTGATTGGCGCTGAGAAACCGATAGATTTGTAGTTCATTTCTCTTCCTCTTTGTGTAATCTTCTATGGTTGGGTTTGTATGTATATTTTCTTTGATCTAATGTATATTTGTCGCCCTTGGCGTTATAAAAAACTTGCTTTACAAATCTTTGTGGATTATTGTACTAGATTTTTGCTATGTGTTAGGGATTTGAGTTGTTATAGATATATACTGCTTAGGTTCCTATCTAGGATGATTAATCCGTTAATTTCTAAACTCTAGAGATAGATTTAGAGCTGACAATTTACTTGGGTATCAGAGCTTAAAGCATATATGTTATTCTAAGAGATTGTCGACACAGACAAGCAGGGTTGACTTCTATGTTGTCGAGGTGGTTGATAGATTGCTACCGAGGTGATGCAGTCAGCCTCTCAATTTGGGTTAGAAATGACTTAGGTTGTGAGTGATACGTAGTGACATTGATGAATATTGTAGGTTGAGTATAACATGCCGATAGGTTTAAGTTAGTGAGAAGTAGTATATATGCAGACCTGATAAGTTCTTTCTTAGTTTTTCCTTTTGTTTACATTTATTTTCTGTTAATAATATTTTCTTTACAAAACCCATTCAACCCCAAACTCATTAACAATAATTTGTCGAACGGTGAATCAATAATCAACCTTTGTGGATACGATACGATATAACCTAAATATCACCCAGTAAATTAATAACTTAATTTTTGCTTGTCGCTTTACCGCTGCAACAAAATGGAGCCGTTGCCGGGGATTGGTTCTATTATTTTCGCATTGCGATAATTCTTTGTTTTTGAGTTTTGTAATTAATGTATATGTTCTATAGAAATTGCACATTAACTTGTATATGATTCTTCTGCATATATGTGTTTTTTTCTTTGTTTTCACGTATTATTGTGAATTATCTTGTTTTCATAACGTTTATTGTGTGGAAGTTATGATACTTTCTTTAGGTTTGCACGGTGTGACAATACCATGGTATGACGAGAGGAGGTTACTAGCTCGCACAATAAAGGCTTCGAGCTTACGACGTAAAACAAGCATGTTGTATTGTTTTTATTTGTATTCGTGTTTGTTATGTGTTGACTTGTGTTTTAACAAGTTGAACTCGGATTAGTTTTTAAATTTCAAATTTTCACTTTTCAACTTGTTAAATACACTTTCAATTTTTGTGTTTCGTTATGCAAAATTGTGTTTTTCCGCAAACTTGTTGTGTTTAGCTTGTGGAAGTGTGTTTGTTAATTTTGTAAATATTGTAATTTATGTGCATAAAGTTCGTTAGTGATGGTGGAGTCGCATAGCAGCTGCACCAGATGTTGTTGTCTTTTTTTCTGCATCTGGTGTAGCGCGCTAAGCACGCTCCAGGATGCTTAGTGCGCTCTGCTGTGCAGAACCAGTAAATTCTTTTTAAATTTTTTCTTGGCTTTTATTTTTCCCACTTCCACCTAGGCCTTGTAGTAGTAAATAATATTAGTATAATTAATTCTTTTGTTGTTGTTTGTACTCAATTTTGTTTCGATAGCTTGAAGTCGCTTTTGGTGATTTTCCAAGTTTGAGTGTTTCAACTTGCGAATGCATAGTAATGATTTTGTTAAAGTTTTGTACACGTTCGAGGTATGTGTTTATCGCTTTCTATACTTTAGCATATTCATGATACTTAGACTTTTTACAATTTTTATGCCATTCATTCTTTTGTACACTTGTTCATTTGTGAATTACTTTAGTTCCTACCCTTTTTGTGAGGTAGCTTTCCATTGTTCACATATGCTGAAGACCAAAATGCTTGCTTTAACTAGATTTTGTTATGTTTAATCTTTTATTTATGTTGATTGTATGAATGCAAGAAAGTCATCAAGACATTTTTTGTTCCATTTTGAGCACAACTACCCCTTAGCCGAATAGTCAATTTACCTTGTGAGTGTATGATCATTTGTAACCCTTTGAGCTTTTTGTTGATATCCATGTTGTTTTTGCTAAATACTTGTCTATGAGTGTTTATTTTCTCTTTTTGCATGTATGTTGATTCTTAGTTTTCTTGAACCCTTTACTATGATTTATAGTTGAATTTTTACCTTGCCTTAGAAAGTAGGGAGTATTCACATTATGATGATGGTTGGATTCAAGTTGGGGAGAAAAAATGATTATGTATTTATGTTGTGATTGCTATGAAGTTGAGAAAAGAAAAGAAAAAAAAAGAAAAAGAAAGAAAAAAAGAAGAGAAAAAGCTTTGAAAAACAAAAACAAAAAGAGTTCGAATAATGTTGTGTTAATAAGTGATGTGCTTTGGTGTGACATTTGGGATTCGGAGGAAGTTTAATTAGAATTTTGTGTTTGAATCTTTGGTGAATTGATCACTCCCTTAGGTTTAGGCAAGTTTTTTTCTTCTGATTAGCTTTAGGAATTATCTCTTGTTTATTAACCAAACCACATTACAACCTTGAAAAGCCCTTGAGATTCGTGTCTTTGTATTTTCAATGTAAATTTTTGGATGAATGCATAATTTATTCTTTTGTTTGCAAGATTGTTGGGTGAGTGAAAATGCCCTATTTTTGTGTGTTTTTCATCTACCGATGATTGTGTTTTCTAGGTGCGATTCATTAGTGAACTAGTATTGTTTTAGAATGTCTGGCATAATTTTTGTATTTAGCATTCGTTTCATGTTTATGTTATCGTCGTAGTTTAGTGGTAAGTATGTTTCTTCGTGTGTACCATTTTTCAATTGAGCCATTGCATTTGTTTTCTGTTTTTCAAAACTTGTTGATTCACGATTCTTTGGTTTATTACTTTTAGTTCTTTGAGTTGTTTGGCCTTGTTTGAGGTCAAACAAAGTTTAAGTTTGGTAGAGTTTGATAAGTACAAATTGTATCTATTTTTGTATATACTTTTTGTTGCACTTATCGACTTTTTGTTTGTAATATTGTTGAATAATTCTCCGCTTTTTGTATAATTATGTATAAATTGTATTTAATCGAGTTTTTATGTAAATAGTGTACTGTTTGATAGTTTTGGTTTATTTTGTAGGTATTTGTTTCATCTTGGAGCATTGAGGAATAAGGTGTCAAAGGCATGGCTCCAGATGCGCGTTTTCGGAATAAAAGACCAGTTTTGGGACTTGCTGTCCAAGAGAGCCCGCTTAGCGCGCAGGAGGCCGCTAATCGCGAGTGGCGCTCAACGCATTTTATAGCGCGCTGCTTGCGTTCTACTATTTTGGTAGAACCAAAGTTTTGAAGCCCGCTTAGCGCGCTTAGCGCGATTTAGGTTGGTTTAGTGTGTAAATATCGCGTAGCTCGCTTAGCGCAGTCTGCTGAGATTTATTTTATAACTTCATTTTCAGTCATTTTTAGGTTATGGTTTTCGAGAAGTTTTTTCTCCCAACTTCATCAACTTGTAAATTTTGTTAGGATTAACTTAGATGACAACTATGGAGCTTGCATACGGATGATCCAGGGTGGATTTCTCTTTGATCGACGTTGACAAACTGGTAGATATGTAGTTAATTTATCTTCCTCTTTGTGTAATCTTCTATGATTGGGTTTGTATGTATATTTTCTTTGATCTAATGTATATTTGTCGCCCTTGGCATTATTTAAAACTTGCTTTACGAATCTTTGTGGATTGTTGTCCTAGATTTTTGCTCTGTGCTTGGGATTTGAGTTGTTATAGACATATACTACTTAGGTTCTTATCTAGGATGATTAATTTATTAGTTTATAAACTCTAGAGATAGATTTAGAGCTGACAATCTACTTGGGTATCAGAGTTTAAAGCCTCTGTGTTGTTTTTGTTATTCTGAGAGATCATCGACACTGGCAAG